ATCCAGGTCAGGGGCACAGAGCCCCCTCAAGGTGTTGCCCTGCCATCACACCGTCCCTCTGCAGAAAGAACCCTTTCGTCTTCCGAAACTCTATCGTCATCAAACGCTAGTTCCCCCTGCTTCTTCTCCATGGCATCTACCTTCTGTCATGTGTCCGGCTCCTCCTGGTCCCTCAAACAAATGGAATCTCACAGTTTGTCCTCCTACGACTTACTTACTTTACCTGCTAAAATATCTTCAGGGTTTATCCACACTGTAGCATGCGCCAGAACTGCCTTGCTGAATAACATCCTACTGTTGGTATGTGCCATGTCTTCTTTATATGTTCACAGACACTTGGGTGGCTCTCATCTTCTGACTGTTGGGATTACTACTGCTGCTATGTACCTAGATACGCAGATATCTATGTCTCCTGAACGCTCCCAGAATCCCTTGCTCTCACTCTTCTAATAAGCAGCCTCAGGTGACCTGTGAAAGGAGTTCGTTACTCCCTTGGTGCAGAAAACGCCACAAAGTCATACACATCGAGAGGTCCACATCTTTGTGTTCTGTTTAGGGACACCTGTTAAACTGCCCAGACCTGAATCAGGGTGTGCGTATATCCCAAAGTCATCAAGCATCTGAAAGACACTCCACACAAACAGTGAGAATCATCCAGAGCTTCAACGGTGAAGTCGGTATGCCCGGCCACACGGTGACTATGGACAAGGCTGATGGCCCGAAAAAGAGAGCTGAGTTCTGCTGCACAGGCTTAAAAATGCCGAATTTGAGAGGTTAGATGTGGATTCTGTAGCCATTCAACATGTCTGGGTGAACAGAGCACCCAAGGCGGGCCACCAGACCTCCAGAACTCGTTAGCCCATGCATGAGCTCCCCTGCCACACGGAGACTCTTCTCACAGAAAAGGAACGAATTGTTGCTAAGTCAGAAGGGGGGTGCACAGAAGAAAAAGATAGCTCAGCATAAAATAAATGCAAACAAGTTTTTAAAAATCTTTCTTCTTTTAGTTTGGGGGTACACAGTCAGAAGTGGAATTTCTAGATCATTCTATCATGAGGTTTTTGAGGAGCCACCATACCGTCTTCTAACACCACTGTTCCATTCCCCTCATGCCAGCAATGCACAGGGTCCCAGGCCCTTCACATCCTCACCATCGTCTGTTATCTTATGGAATTTTATTATTGCTGTAGTTGTCCCAGTAAGAGTGAAGTATGTCATTGTGTTTTGATCGACATTTGCTATATAATTAGTGGAGTTTCATGCTTTTGTTGGCCATGTGCATATCTCTGAGAAGTGTCTGTCCAGGTCCTGTATCCACTTTGAGTCAGGGTTTTTCTTTTTCTTTCTTTTTTTTTTTTGTTACTGTGTTATAGGTGTGTTTTATTGATATACTATGGCTATCAATATCTTATCAGATGTGTATGATTGGCAAATATTTACACTTCCTCTGTGGTTGACTTTTCATTCTTTGGGTGGTGTTCTTTGACATACAGAAGTTTCTAATTTTGATATAACCCATCTTATCTAATTTTCCTTTTGTCTTCTGTGCTCCTGGTGTCTTATCTAAGAAATCGTTGTCAGGCGCGGAGATTTTCTAAAGCTCCCCAAGTGATTTCAATATAGCCAAGATTGTGCAATGTTCCTTAAATTTTAACATACATGCAAATCACCCTAAACCTTGTTAGAATAGATATTCTGATTCATTAAGTCTGGGGTGGCACCCAACATTCTGCATTTCTAATAGACTCCTAAGTGATCCTTCTGCTGCTCTGAACTCCTCTGAGGAGCCAGCATCTAGAGGAGCATGGCAGCCTTCACCCAAGTCCTGAGAAAAGTTAGTTGCTATAGCTCCTCAATAGCTACCACTGTTTGCTGATCCACCATCAGGATAGCCCAGTACTTAACCACCTCACTTCCCAAAGCTGGTTCTGAGCACCCCAGTGGTGGCTGTATGGGGTACCTTTGGAATGGCAGAGGAATTAAACCAAAGGACACAAACTCTAAGCCTGGCTCTCCAGCATATCCCTCTACGTGAAGTGATCCACTCACTGGTCCACTTTGCTCAGAAAGTTTGGGATCTACGTTATTAACAGTCTACTCCTCTCCACCCTGGAGGGAAGTACTGGAGGATATAAAAATAGCTGTTTTCTTTAAAGTGGGTTTAATGTCCTTGGGAAGGAGCCATGCAGACTGATACAAGGTTTGCAGAAGCAGTTGCAGGACATGGGGCGGAGGCTTCTGAATATCTCCTTTAAAAATATTCTTTTCTACCATCATAGAATTTTGGAGCCAAAAAGGCTCCTTAGAGGTCTCTTCCAAAACCTGCACTTCAAAGGAGAGAGCTGGAACCTGTGATACTGGAACTTGTCAAGATCTCCAATGCTAGCCGGGCGGTGGTGGCACATGCCTTTAATCCCAGCACTCGGGAGGCAGAGGCAGAAGGATCTCTGTGAGTTCGAGACCAGCCTGGTCTACAAGAGCTAGTTCCAGGACAGGCTCCAAAACCACAGAGAAACCCTGTCTCAAAAAACCAAAAAAAAAAAAAAAAAAGATCTTCAATGCTGAGGTCAATCAACCCATTGCCCTCCTAGGGTCTGACCCCTGCTGTGTGATCCAAATTAGAGCTGTAAAGCCTGAGAGGAACTGAAGGGCTTCTAGAAGGCAATTCTCCTTGCAGGAGTTGTAAGCTCAACCCAGCCACTGCCAGTCCAACTAGATATATCTTTTGTTGTGGAAATTGTTTTTAACTATGTAAAGATGTGTTACATGTGTTTGTTTATGCTGTGGGATATTTCTTTAGCCGTGCAAAGGTGTGTTACATTTGTTTATGATGCATTTGTTTAATTACGAAAGATGTGTTGCTCTTTCACCTTGCCTGCTTAAGGTACCTGATTCATCTAATAAAAAACTAAATGGCCACTAGGGAGGCAGAGAGAGGGATAGGCGGGACTGGTGGGAAGAGAGAACAAATAGGAGGAGAAATCTAGGCTCAAGAAGAGAGGCAGAGAGAACGAGGGAGAAAGAGAGGGACCCACCTAGGGCCAGCAGCCAGGCAGCTGCCAGCCAGACATAGAAACAGCAGGGGAGTAAGATAGAAAGAAAGAAAGAAAGAAAGAAAGAAAGAAAGAAAGAAAGAAGAAAGAAAGAGAGGAAGAGAGGAAGAGAGAGAGAGATAGGTAAAAAGCCCCAAGGCAAAACATAGATAAAGAGAAACAGATTAAAATAAGAGCCAAGCTAAGATCAAGCATTCGAAATTTATAATAAGTCTGTGTGTCATGATTTGGGAGATGGCTGGTGACCCAAAAGAAAAAGGCTGGTTTGGTTTTCAAGTTGGAGCTCACTATTGTCTCTTCAATAGAGGTCATACTATCAATAAAATAAAATAAAAGTCCAGTAACCTTCAGGCCCATGCTACATCTCATGTCCACCCTGCCTATTAAATACTCTTTATCTACCCCATGGCTACTTATAAAGATGGCTGTGGGTTTCCTTCTCCAACCAAATCTCCTGCAAAGTTGAAGAACTGTGATAACGTGTTGTCTTTAGTGAGTTGACATCCCGGTAGAAAGACACTGTCTTAGCTAGAGTACTCTGAATTTGGAATGACCTCCTTTGATACCATGACTCTGAATTCGTGCACTTTGAACACACTACATGCACCTCCTTTAAGGATGGATCCTACATAGTTTCTGCCCTGCGATGGAACTCTGTCCTTGCATTTCTCTACAGCAAGACATCAGGGAGGTTTTGGATTTTGTTTGGATCTAAAGGCATTGCTTGGACCCCCCGTTTTGGCCTCTGGGCCCTTGACCCGGAGCACAAGCTCATTTGCTGGCAAGAGCATCTGTCTCCATACGGGGAGACAGTCTTCAGATCTCCTTTGCTCTTCCCTCATTAAGATGTCAGTCCGGCTCAGCCTTGTTCGCTGCTGCCAGATGCGCTGACAAGCAAGCAGCCAAGTTCTAGCAGGAGGAGCTTTGCTGCCTTCTGAAGGCAGGAGGGTAGCGCTTTCCTAGTGGGTTAGACCTGCACAGGCTTTCTGGAATTCCAAGAGAGTCTCTGGGACATTCTGTGAGGTCCAGTGCTCTGCCTACGGCAGAGACTTAGAGTGGTGCTATCTCCAGCATTCAAAATGCCTTCTGCTCTAGCTCAGAGCAGGTGGGGTTCTTCTACCGCCCCAGCCATTCTCGGCTGTCTTCTGGGTGAGTGCCACTGGCTCCCATGGCCCCAGGCAGCTTGGCAACACCCTGAGTTATGTTAGAGATATTATAATGAATTATACAATGCATTATACATAATTAATTTATAATAAAACAAGCATGCAATGGTTTAATTTCTCCAAGTGAATGATGTGCTACCCGCCAGACCTCGCTGGAATGCATCCCTTCACTGCCTCTTCGTCTGGAGGCAGTGACCACCAACCCTTGGGAGGAATCTCGGCTTGGGGAACCTGCCAGACTATCTCTGGGGTATGTCCCACAGGAGAGCCATCCTTCACCACCTCTGTTGTTACTCTAGGTCCAGCAACCTGTGGGGGTCTTGCCCCCACCTCTGCATTGAGATCTCTTCTTTATCCTCCCAGAGTATCGGAGATCCTTCCTTCTCTCTTTCCTTCATCCCTTCCTCAAATACGTACAGACTGCTCACTGCACCTTGTCCTTAGCTTGGTGCATATCAGATAAATAAAACAAATATCCATGCCAAAGTGGATCTTGTACTGCAGCAGAGGGCAGCCGGCAGTAACTAAGTGTGATGCGTAGTAAATCCTGTTGCGTGTAGTGCAGTGGTAAGTGCTGCAGAAGAAGAGAAAACCCAGGGCCCCACTGGGGCAGACGCAAGTTGTAGTTTTACGCAGGATAGCAGAGGTGGCATTTCTAAAACCCAGAGGTCCTACAGTCCCGGAGGTAGGGGAGAATGCCCCCACGGCCTCCCTGGGGCTGAATTTGCCTGGCTGCTTGGCTCTGGAACCTTTCAGTAAAGTTTGTAACTTTCGCTTTCAGATGTTCAGGATGTCTTTGCTCCTGCTGCCACTGTGGCTTCTGCCTCTCGCTGGGGGATCCCAGAGGGCTGAGCCCATGTTCACTGCAGTCACCAACTCCGTTCTGCCCCCAGACTATGACAGCAACCCCACCCAGCTCAACTACGGGGTGGCAGTGACGGATGTGGACCACGATGGGGACTTTGAGATCGTCGTGGCAGGGTAAGTGCCTCCCACCCTGGGTTTGACAGATATATTAATCAGCTTTTGCCGTGATACAGTTGCGTGACAGTAACTGCAAAACACCGTGCAGTGACCAATGCCTGTTCTCATTGGGCTCTGCTGTCCTTTGTGGTCAGCACCAGCCTGGCGGGCTGAGCTGCAGTTCTGGGGTGCCATGGCTTTGCCCTTTGCTACAGCAGGGGCTTGAGACACATGGCAGCTTCAAAGAAAGCCATAGAATCTGCAGGCTTTTCAAGACGGCTTCTTATCACATATCAGCCTCCTTGGTCATGACGGTATTACTTCCTCCCCAGCGAGGTTCTACACGGGCAGGACATAAAAGTGTTAGTCCGTAGAAGGGGTTGCTGCATGCTCACTGACTCTCATGGCACTTTACATAAGCCTAAGGAAACGTTAATTACCCATTTCAGAGAAGAGTGAAGCCGGAAATCAAGAGGGACAGTGAAGCCTCCCCTGGCTAGGCATGCTGCGTGCTGCTGTTCTTGTTCCTCCTTCTCCTCCTCCTCCGAAAAAGGAACATTGTGTTGTCGCTAGAGAAGCAGAGACTTTAGATGGCTTGAGATGGTGCCCTAGGTGTACAGCTTTCTAGTTGCATGACCTTGAGATTCCCATACATCGCCTGGAAGGGAGGGATCGCTGTAAAGACTTGTCCTGAAGCCTCGCTAGGCCATTGCACATGATAGTGCATTGTAAGTTCTGCCAATCACCACGGATAATTGTTATTTATGGAGCATCAGTGTGCCAGGCTCTATACATCGTATTTCACATTCATCTCCTTTATCCTCCCGACAATACTAGCATCCCCCTTCAGAGGCGAAGAACTGAAAAGGATGGAAGTAGGGAAGGGAGCTTAGCTGGAGATGCTTGTCCACCGTGCATGACACTCGGGGTTCAGTCCCCACCCCCCACCCCCGCCACATATTGGTGGTACACACCTGGGATTCCAGCACTTGAGGAGCGCTAGAGACTCTGCCTCAGAAAATCAAACAAAAGACAATAATTAGCTTTGTTTGTGTGGCGTAAATAGTTAAATGGATGGATGGGTCAGGATTTGACTCCTAAGGTATCCTAGAGTTAACAAGCTATACCATACAAAGCTCAGTCATCACTTCATCAAACATCAGTCAGTAATAAAAGCATTGCAGGGGCTTCTGCCTAATTCTAGGAGGTCTGAGCTTTTTTTTGGTAACGCAGAACAAAGTACCTAATGGGTGATGGTATCTGTAGCCGTCATATTCATCAGTAAAAAGTGTGGGTCTTAGAGACAGACCATTGGGTTTAAACATTTTGTGAAAGGGTCTCAAGTATTCCAGGCTAGTCTTGAACTTGCCATGTAGCTGAGGCTAGCCCTTAGCTCCTCTTACCTCCACCTCCCCAGTGCTAGGATTACAGGCATGTATGTCACAACTCACAGTGAAGAGCTGGTTTTAGGTTTTGCCATATTCGACCCAAGAGCTGCCAATCTTTGTGCTCCAACTCTTTGCTCTTCATCTGTAAAATAGAGGCACTGAGCGCTACCCTACCCACCTAACAGGATCGAGCTCAGGATCGGCGATGAAGACATATAGAAAAGTTAGTTTTAAAGGGAATTTTTTTTTCCTCATTCCCTGAGAAGATGTGAGCCACTCGGTGCTAGGCCTTCTGGATGCTTGCTAGGTGGTGTTTCCCAGTGTGGTGTTTATTAGGCACATGTGACAATGAAGACTTGAAGTATGGCCAATTTGGTCAGAGAACTGAATTCCCTCTTTCCCACCTTTTTCAGACACAGTGTTTTGCTGTGTACCCTGGGCTGGCCCAAAGCCTGCAATACCTTGGTACTGGGCTGACAGACATGCCCCGTCATGCCCAGTTCGGGGAACTGAATTTCTAATTCTGATCAAACAGCCGCATTTCAAGCAGGCAGCTCAGTTCTGCTTAAAGAGCAGAAAATGATAGAACAGTGCAAATATGGAGGGCCCCAGGGCTTCTCTTCTCCTGTGGTGAGGTGGGGAGCCTTGTGGCTCACCTGTGCCCTGCCTGCAATGCCCCATTGTCCCCTGAAGCTGAAGGCGGGAGAAGCTGAGCCACACCCAGTGTAATCCCCAGAGCCCCGTGCTGGCCTGAGATGCTCTGGTTGACTCCTGATAGGTGAGCCCAGTCTTCCCCTATGGACCCTGGGGCCAGATGACAGAGAACGCCGGAGAACAGCCCTTCCCTCCTGACCCTCCCCACCCCTAAGCATCATGGGCATGTTCTCTGTTCAAATAAGACCCTGGTGTGAACTCGCAGTCTTACAAGTTAATATGGGAAAGAACATATTAAGGCCCGCACTGTGAACAGAAAGTCTCCCCACCCTCCTTTCCCTTTGGGGACTCCTGATAAGTGCTGCCAGGCTCCACAGATAGGAAGTTTCTCACTGTCTCCACAGAGAGGTTGCCTCTGGCCTCAGTATCTCATGTCCCCCATATCTGTCCAGTGTTCCCTCCACCCTGTACCCGCTCTGCACGGCCACTTCAGGAGACCTTTGTTGTCCTCCTGTGGTCCCCACGGGGGGATGAAATATGCCTTGAAGAGCAAGGCACTCCACCGGGACAGGTGCAAGGGCCTCTCTGGTTTCCTTTCATTCTGCCTCTTCTCTGGCCCCTCTCTCCGAGGCATGCTGACACAGTAGTCCAGCCTGCACACCCTGCTCCTGGTTCATCTTCCCGCTGCAAAACCAGCAGGTAACAGGAAGACTTTTGCCCCCAGGCTCATCCTGACATGGTCTGGAAAGGGGAAAAACGTGTGATGGTACAGATATCAGTGTCTCTGTTTTTACTAGGTCAAAGGTAGCGCCCGTGCCCCCATACACCCATTGGGTTGCATCCCCAAGCCCCAGCTTAAATATGGCTTCTCGGCATCTCCATTCCACACATCCTTCCGTGTGCAGGGAGTTGCGAGCATCCAGCGTCTTCCCTCTGAGCAATGACTGTACATTTCATCTTCCTCTTCCCAAGACCTTGTTTCTTCCACTGAGCTCAAGAACTTCGCTTTTGTGTCCTCTAAGGCTGAGAAACTAGGCTGTCACTAATAGTCATTGTAGAGTAGGTGATACGCCATGTCCAGCTTGCCACAGGCCTGGATCCGGTAGGCTGAGGGAATTACCCTTTGGAAACAAGGCCTGGATCATACAGTCTAGGCCCCTCACTCTCTGCCTCTCTCCCAGGCAGCTACTGCCTAGCCGGAGCTTCTGTGTGCCATCCTGAAAGACTTATCTGTTGCTCACCCAAAGGAAAAAGACTCACAGGAGGAATAGGAGAAGTAAAAATGGAGAAATCGGGCACCCTCCCAGCTCCAGGTCAGGGCTTCTTTGTGGCTGTTGCAAAGAATTGTGAATTCTTGGAGCATCAGAAAGACACATTCTAATTTAAGTACCCACATCCATTCCAAAGGCAAATACAACTTTTATTATCTTCAGCTCAGGATGATTTGTCATTGTCTTCTCTTTTGGGCTGGATAACCAAGAGTTGACTACACAGGCGTATTTAAATCGGGACCTTGAGAGGTCATTTGGTCCACCTCTTGCCTCCCAACAAGGCCAGTCCTGTTGAGTGTGGATTCTCCGTGTACTGAGCCTAAGCGCCATCCAAGGGAATCTGATCCTTCTGCAGCCCAGCTCTGATACTTAAATCAGAAGCGATTTGACTAATCTGAATCCCTCACAGAAGAGCTTAATAGGCCATTTCCTTTCGCTTTTGTTTCGTGGCTGCCTTGAAGACACAAAGCCACCATTTTTTCACGTAAAGACAGTCAGGATCCTTGCCCTGCCTCTCATCCTGCTGACTCCTTGGCAGCGGCTCTGATTTAGACTCTTACCCTTTCATCTGCCCTGTACCCGTATTACATTCTGCTTTCTGCTCTGTCTGATTGTAGGCTTTCTGTTTAAGAAGCCTGTTGCGGGAGTTGGTATTTCTAAAAATTGATTTGGAATGCCTTTACCTGGGGCACCTGGGTCCTGGTGGTGGCAGGCCCACCCATTATCGTACAGATCTTTTTATGAGCTGATGCCTGGATGCGTTTACTTTTGCAACCCCTGGGATAATGACCAGCTCTTTGGTCTGTAAGGCAACTAGAACTTGAAGTTGCCTTGGATTTGTTGACCTTGTGTGTCTGACCAGAGCCCTGTTACTTTGAGTATTTACTCTTTGAATAGGTTTGTTTTGCTTTGCTTTTTCAGTATCCTCGTTCTGGCTATTGACAGCATTGATTTTGCACATGTCGCGGGTGGGTTTGTGTTGTGTTTCGGATTCTCGAGTTAATTGTGATGGAAGGCGTGTGCGTGCTTCTGACTCTGGGAGGAGCAGAAAATGACCGCCCTTTGTTCTGTGGGGATGGGGGAGGGAAGGGGCGGCTCACCGCTCCTCCGCCACAGCTGGGCGAGTGCCTGCGCATATGGAGGGCTTATCTGCTAACCGGCAGGTGCGTGATTGAGGTCTGCAGATAGCTGCCTCCCTGCCGGGTGAGGGGAGGATTTGATCACCCCCAGAGAAGGCAGTACACGCACGGACATTGAGGGTCTTCGGGACTGTTCCCTGGGCAAATGGAAAGCCCAGTGGCTTCCCCTTTTCTCAGTGGAACTAAACACCCAATCTCCAGTCTCACAGGGTCTGGAGAGGGATTCCTGTTGGTGTCAGTGCCGCGCAATCCCTTACAACAGCATCGCTGTAAGGGCTATCCCTGTAGCTCTGAGATAACCCCTCTGCCCTCTCAGTTTCCAGCAGGAGTTGGCTCCAGTGGCGAGACTGTGGTGGTTGTAAAGTTTAAACCATGATTTAGATCAGTTTTTCTACACAAAGAGCATTCATTTGGCAAAACCTTAGCATGTTCTTCACACTCGGGAGGATTTCATTTAAAGGATGCTGCAGATTGTGAAGCCGCGTTTTGTTTTTTTTCCCTCTCAATTTTGCAACTATGTCAGGAAACTTTTTTAATTTACTAAAGCTAATTGAATTATTTAAAAG